GGCATCAGGTCTGGGGGCGTGTCAGACATGGAGCTCCCTCACACAGTGGCATCGACGTCTGCTGCTGTGTGCAGTCCCCGCTCACGAATGTGTGTATTTTCAATTTTCTCTATTTGTTCTAAAGATTAGAGAGCCCTTTGTTCTAGATCCTTTAAAAAGAAAATTCGGATTAACTATGTAGTGGAGCCAGCGTTTCCTGAGTGTCTGCTCTGGGATGCGTCCTCCCCTGGGGATCCTCTGAGTCTCCTGTTGGTGCTGCCCGCCTGGGTCTCCAGCACTTTCCTGCCCCACGAGAGCCCTGCCTGCACGCAGCCCAGTCCGAATAAACCCCCTGTGTCTGAGAAGTGTTTTCTCCCTCAAGTGCAAGAATGTTTTCTGGTTGGGATGGACCCCCAGGAGCCCCAGTGAAGAGAGAATTCTTATTTCTCGGTAAGTTGCTTCTTCCAGTGCTTAAGTGCATCATTGTAAACGGACCTTAACTAAGATACTAAATGACAGATGTTTCAAGTGATAAAAAGAAGCTATTTATCCCTTTTACCACAGGAGTGAAGGGCGTGGTTCACTATGGAGCCCCCTTGGGGTGTTTTATCCACATTGAGCAACTAAAGTGTCCCCTGCGCACAAGGTCCCCTGTCAGACTCCATGGGACAGACAGTGAAGATGGTCCCCTGCCCTTGGGGGCTGGCCATGTGGTGGAAAAGTGGGGTGGGAGGAGCTCCGTAGGATGGACCCGAAGATGCCATCAGGTGCGTAAGGGCAGGTGCCAGGTGTCAACAGAGCTATGCCTTCTCCACACCCCTGTTCTTTGAGCAGTTCCCATATTTCTCAAGTCATGCAAGTAGAGGTAATAGAAGTAACTGTCTGTGATAAACACATAAAAATCTCACCTTCCAAACCAGTTTCCATGGAAACCAAAGAATAAGAATGGATGCGTTATATATTCAACTGCTTTTGGGGACAATGCCATAAATCGATAGTTTTGCCTTTTATTTCAATTAGAATGCCTTACTATGTTGAATGTGAAAAGCATTTGGGCACATAGACTCTGGAACATGCTAAAATCTCTCCACTCCAATCATCACTTGCCGAAACTATTCATTCACTAACAGTATTATTGGGCGCTTAGCATGTGCCGAGGTTTGAAGGTACAGCCCGTGAGACGGAGGACCTGACCGGTCATGAACCCCGGCTCTGCGTCGGGAAGGGGTCTGGGGACCCAAGGGCAGCGTCCCGTTCTGTGACATGTGTTGTTTTGCACTCTTTGTAATGGTCCCGTGTCAGGCTGACCCATGGTTCTGAAATCCCTGCTGCCTGTCCTTTACCGTACTTCCTCTTTCAGCTGTTCTGTAACATTTTCCTTTTTACAGTTTTTATTAAGTTATAGTCACTTTACAATGTTGTGTCAAATTCCAGTGTAGAGCACAATTTTTCAGTTATACATGAACATACATATATTCATTGTCACATTTTTTTTCTCTGTGAGCTACCACAAGATCTTGTATATATTTCCCTGTGCTGCACAGTATAATCTTGTTTATCTATTCTACATTTTGAAATCCCAGTCTGTCCCTTCCCACCTCCCGCATGGTCTGTAACATCTTCATCAAATTCTAAATCAGTGAATTAAATCCCCGTCCATTTTGGTGGATGCGTCCACCTGAGGAGCTGGCAAACTTTATTGCAATCTTGGGGACATGCCTTGTTTTACCATTATATAAAATATATAATTTTCACATATGAAAACAGATTAAACAGAAAATAAAAGTATATGAAATTAAAAAGTGTTTAAAAAATGTATGTAACTGAAGAGTGGTTCTTCAATTGCACGTATTTTATTATTGTAACTTTACATCAGTGACACTTTGATAAAAAATATTCTAAGAAACAGACTAAAGATTACCTTTAAGTAAGTAGCCCTGACCAGAAATTCAAGAAATAAAAAGATGAAAATTAAAAATCTGGAAGTTTGTTTATTGGAAACAAATGTCAGAAAAAAATTCTGTCATTTCCCTTGGGGAAAAAAAGTTTGTTTCCTGGTGACTGGTTTTCGACAGAACCTGTGGCTTAGCGCGCTCGGTCAGGCTCACGTCGGCCGGCAGAGGGCAGTGTGGATTCCCAATCGGCCCACATCTATAAAAAAAACGAGAGAAAGTATTTCCACTTCCTTAATCCAAAACCTGACTGTAGTGGATAAAGTCCTAAAAGCACTTGGATTGTACACACGGGGGCCCATGGCATCTGATCACCTAACTATCGTGACAACGTATGGCAGTCAACTGAAAAAAGAAATCTGGATAATCGGCATTTTAGGGAAAAAAATCGGGAAGTGAGTTTGCTCGAAGCAAACACAGATTTCTACACGACAAAATTCACCATCATCCGGCGTTCAGGGCTGTAAGAGGCCTTAATTCACGGCCGTGTTCCTGATGAAATGCACGTCTGTGAACGGAACAGCGCTGCGTCTCGTGGTTCTAAGCTAAGCAAGCGCGTTGAAAACTGAAGCCAAGAAAAACTATCAAAAATCATTTCTGCGGGAAGGAAGGAAACAAGAGAAATGTGCCCTCTCGGTAGGTCCAGCTTCGCGTGGTCCACTTTGCTGCGCGAGTGAGGGCCCCACAGGAAGCGGAAACGGACCCGCCGGCCTGCGTCGACCCGTCCCCGAGGCCCCCAGGCCGCGAGGCTCAGGAGGCCCACGGGGGGCCCGCGTTCGGCAGGCGGAGGCGCCGGCTACACCCCCGCCCCGACGGCGGTCGCCCCAGCACAGCAGCGGAAGCGCCTTTCGCGCCGGTGACGCCCCAGGCCACGGCGCTCTTGGCGCCCGCGCAG